CCTTTACAGCCTTGACACAGACCTTCCCTCCTAGACTTCAGACACAGACCTTCCCTGCTAGACTTCAGTCTACAATGTCAGAAATACATACTGCCCCTTCTCACAGGTTTAAAGCTGCCTAGTGGGCTCACTTCCAGTAAAGGTGGGAGGCCTTGGGGTCCAAGACTAGCTCTTCTACCTAATGGCTTCACATCCAGAGAGCAGACTCTGATGTCTTGGGGTCTGGGGGCTTCTCAGGATTTTATACAGCAGGATACCCCAGGGTGGAAAGGCTCCAAGAACACCAGAACCATCTTCTAAAAAATTCTTCCCCAAAGTAATGTAGCCCTTGGTGAGTGGATGGTATTCTCGGTTCTTCTTCAAAGGCCTGGGATCCCATGGGTTAGAGAGAGGGGAAGCCCAAGGCCCACGTGGGGCTGGTTAGAGGCTGAATCCCGGCCTGGGCCTGGCTAATTAAGACATAGGGTTCTCCGAGGTTCCTTTTCCTTCCCTGGAGGGCACACAGGCACTGGGACAGGGACAAGCTCTAGCTGGGAAAAACTAAAGAATGTGTGTCACCTGGCAACCCTGCAGAGACAGGATGGGGGGAGCTCCTGACACTGACTGGTTCTGTCCTTTATGGAAGGGTCTGCAAAGGGACATGGAATAGAAAGGTTTTCATGGTGGTCCAAGAACCCTGAGAACATCTCTTCTTCCATGAGGACAAGGAAGGCTAGGGCCTCGACATGACCACCATGCACTGGCTCATTAAATGTTTCATCAATGAGGTAAGGAGGCCCAGGAAGACACCAGGGTCAGATCTTCCTGCCCCATGGAGTCCAGCTTCCCAAAGAGGAGCCAGGTTTCCTCACTCCCAGGAGACACAGGCAGTCCCTACAGCGCTAAGCCTGCCCCAAGGGAGCATCCCAAGGTAGAGTCTGAGATCAGGCACAGCAGGGTACACTCGTCAGGACCCATCTCTGGACAGCCCAGGAAAGACCCAGACCCTCAGAAAGCTTCTTGCTCTGGGAGCCCTATGCCTGCTGAGAGGGGTCCACTCATTAGAAGCTGGAGTACCTTGTTTGACTGGTCTCATGAGGGTCTCTTGCCATGTGGAAAGGGTCCCTAACTTTCCAGATGGAGGCCCTAGAGGGCCCTGCTCGGAGCACTGGCCCCCAGCCTGGTAGGGCCAGGTCCTCCCACACTTGTTGTCCCCACAGATTCCATTCAGTCTCACCCTGAGATTCTGGGACATCTATATTTTGGAAGGACACTGGGCACAGAGAGACTTGGGGGAGTAATGCCTGACAAGGACTTGCCAGCTGGTATTTTATGATGCTCTTACTCTCTATACTAAAGTTTGTTTTCCAACCTGACACTGGCATACCATCACATAGCAAATAAAGAAGGAAATCAGTGTATTGTATGGCCCTGCAAAGCTATTTCTTGGGGAACTCCCAGACTCCAAGTACCTTGCAAGACACATACCAATCTATCCTCTCTGAAGACTGCCACACATAGGACCTCATCTACAAATCAACAAACATGGAGTTTTCTGTCCCCTTATCTCAACATGTCTCTTCTACTGATTTCCAAGTTTCCTTAGATAGGAACTAAAAATTAAAGTCAAGAAATTTTTGAATCCACCAGTGACCTGAGAGCCCCCACATGGAAATGTCCCTCCTTCCAAGGCCGATGAAAAGATCACATGTACTGAGATACTAGTATTACTATAAATCATGTACTGATTTATAGTTTCTTATAAGTTCTGCCTAGCTAAAATATATATAAACAGGCCACCATTCATCCACCACCAGGGCACACATTATCAGGATCTCCATTGACCCCCTGGATTCAGCTGGCTAGGGATTCCCTGCCTCATGCCCTCACCCCAGAGATGCTTGTCCTGTCATCAGCCCAGGCTCAAAAGTGAGATGGGAGAAACCTGATCTGTCCACAGCCTTCTAGCCACCTCCCATGCAATGTCTCTAGATGTGGGTGAGATGACGTTGGGCCCTGGACCCCTCCCTCTCTGGGACTAGGCTTCCATGCTGGGACTGGACTGTCTCTCCCCTACCTGAAGTCTGGCTTCTGGCTATGGGCCTGGGGTCCCACCTGTGACCTCTCCCTAAATCCTCTTGGGGTCTCAGATATTGATGGTCTCTATTCCCTGGCTCCAGTTGTGTTGACCTGATGCCCTGGAAGGGGTGCTTATGGGTGAGGTGAGACCCGGCTGCTCTCTGGGATATGGGTGCTACAAGGCAGGGGTGTGGTTCCCCTGTGCAGTACCCTTAGGGTCTCTCCGAAGCTGGGACCAGAAAGGATGGGGAAGGAGCTGGGAGTGTTCTTGCCCACATCCCATCCAGGTTTTGTTATCTGTTCAGTAACTCTAGGTTGGCACCTGCCATGGGGCCCTGTGCATCTGTTTCCAGAAGCATCTTAGTATAAAAGAGGAAGAAAAGGAGGAGGAGGAGATAACAAAGGCCCTGGGAGCAGGACTGGGGATATCTGGGGACATATACCCTTTAATATTCAAGAAGGTGACTGAGTGGGACCTGGTGCTGGCACTCACTCAGTGCTTCCTCATCAGCTGCCTCATGGAGGCCTGGAGCTGCCTTATCACTGCATCATCATCCAGCACCCAGGCCGGGGGCAGCTTGTCCTCCAGGAGTTCCCACAGGCCTATCAGGGACAGTTTCAGGAGGTGTTCTAGGGAGGGAGTCACATTAACTCGGGACAGTCTGCTGGAAGGATCGTGGACTGCACCTTGATCCTTTCTGGGCTGTTCGCACTGGGCTGTGCGGGGTCCTTCTCTGACCACCCTTGGGGTCCCACTGTGCATGGAGGCCACAGCCAAGGGCGCCAACGTGAAAAGTGTCACCACACTCCTCCTATCACTGGGGCCGTGTGGAGTTGGGCTCCATGTCTGGGAAGACTCACGTGGTCTCGCCCAGCTCCCCCCAAGGCCTGGTATAGCCTGGCCTGGCCTTTTTCCAGACCAAGGCATAGGGCCCTGTGGACAATGTGAACTGATCTTGGGTAGCTGGGATCTGTCCTGCATGACAGCAAGGGGAGTTACTTCTAAAGACCTTGAATGCCTGCCTTGCCACCATTGTGTTTCCTGCAATGGATCTCTTGCCCCCTCTAGCCAACTTTGCATTCACCAACATATTCATTTCAGCATTCCTGATTGCCCTTGTATGGATCTGTTCTTGGGGCTGTCCTCTAGACATGCTTAACTTAACCCCATTTTGTTTATTTCATTAATTCATGAATTAAATAAAATTGTTGATGTGTGTTCATTTTATGTTTATATGAGGATCATGGTTTTCCTTTTTTTTTTTTAAGACAGATTCTCACTTTGTCACCCAGGCTGGAGTGCCATGGCAAGGTTACGGCTCTCCCAAGTAGCTAGGACCATTATGCCTGGGTTTTGTTTTTTGTAGACTGGGTCTCTCTATGGTGCATAGGCTGGCATCAAACTCCTGGGCTCCTCCACCTCTCGAAGTGCTGGGATTACAGGTGTGAGGCATCGTTGCCAGTCCATGCTTTTACTCTTGAAACAATTATCTTTTAACAGGAACCCTCTGCCTGAGCTTGTGATACAGAAAGGAATTGTCCTTTTCATATTTCTAACATAAAGTGTCATTCACATGTCTGACTCCCTCAAGAGACTCTGCTTCTGGAAAAGTGGGTACTTGGCTGTCCCTACTAACAAAAATGTAAGGGAAGAAGACAGTACTATATATATATTTCTTTTTTTTTAATTTTTTTTTTTTTTTTTTAGAGAGAGAGGGGGTTAGGGGTGAGCACCTCAGGGCCAGTGCAAATAGCCGGACCACTGCTATACAGACCATACTTTTATGGGAGCTGATGAAGTCAGCGTGGAGCAGGCCCTTAGACCGCAGAAGAGGGCAAAGTCCTGTTTGAATTACAAAGATTTACAGCCTTTTGACCAGAATGCAAAGAATAGATTCTTTTCCCAAAACAAAAATTAAATCTCCAGTGAGGCTGTCCTGGGTATTGAGCTCAACTCCGGTGGATATGTCTTTTGTTCCCAAGAAGACAAGAGGGAAGGAGGGAGAGAGGGAGAGAGGGCAGAAGGGGAAATAAAGAGGGAGGGGCGGCGAGAAAGGTCCGACCACCTTTTCAGGTGATGCGCTCCACCTGGGACTCCACTCCACTGAGCAAGCGACCGGGGCTTTGGGTTTCCGAGGCAAGCGTCTTTATTTTTACCACCCGGCCCTATGAGTTACGAACCGTTCGCTCCTCCTCTCTCGCAGGCTCCTCGGTAGACTACGACGTGGGCATCCTCTCCGACTTGTAGACGCGGAAACGGAGTCCTCTCGAGAAGCGGCGCTTTCCCAGAGTCGTGCACGTTGTCAGTGACAGGCGGCCGACCGCAACACTAAACCGCTTGCACGTCCCAGGGGGCTCCCAATTGCCAACAGCATGACTCCAATCCCTCGCCGCAGCCGGACCGTTTCACCTCACTTCGGTTCTCTCCTCCCGGCACACGCCCCTCCCTCCCAGCGCCAGGCAACCCCCTGGAGCGCGCAGATCGGGGCTTGGAAGGCCCTTCCCGGGGCGGCACGTCTCGGACGTTGCCTGTTTGTCTCTTCCCACGTCACATAGCACACATCGCGGAGTCTCAGAATTACTTGTTTTCGGGAGATTGGCCCCCACCCCCACCCGCCCTTGGCAATGAGTCTGTGGCGCGCTGGATCGGGCACCGAGCCGGGCACCGAGAATGAATGG